ATTAACTTCTCAAAGCTTTACCTCCTTTCTTGGTGACTTGAATAGGCTTGAACTTGAATAAAAACCTTTTGGATATGCTTCTTGAGATGAAAATGGAACTTGATTCCTTGTTGGATGGCTGGCCCATGCTATGCTATGCAAATGAATGAACTATGTATATGATCTACTATGCAAATGATAAAGCTATGAAAACACAAATCAGGTAAAACAAGTTGGTCAAATTTTAGGGTGCAACAGAAACCCTAATTCACAGATGAAGCAAAATAAAGCAATATCCTCATAAGTGATTAGCTATGCATGAATGATTGACATAGAATATCATATAAATGATATTGGAATCTAGGAGTAAAATTTGAGATATGACAATACCCCTTATTGATGTTGCACCTCTGAATCTAGCTCAATGTTCTCTATCACGTGGAATTTATACAACTGATAAATCATTACCTCAACCTAATGAGTTACCTCCACCACACATGTCTTTCAGCTCTTCAAGCTCATGGTGACCCACACAATCTGTCAAAACTAAGCGATGTGGGACTTATTCAACATGTATATTTTCAACCAACCTCAACACTTTTAGTATGGGAATCGTCGGAGGATTTAGGATATTTAAGAAATATAATCTTGGAAGATTTGTTAGGAGTCACAATACCATAGATCACTATATGTGGTGCATGAGAAGTGCAAAATTTACGTAATTTCATATTATATTATAACGTCTAATCTCTTATATTTTCTGCATATGTTGTAAGGTTCCATTTATGATGTGTAGGTGGTTCTCTCAGTTGTTGAGTTTAGGTAGAGTTAACTATGAATCTTTAGTAAACTCTTGATCTGGCGATTGTATACAACCTTCATTTCATTATTTCAATGTTGTTATTCTCATTTTAAATGTTTTATTGACCTTAAATTCTCAATATGACACTTTGAATTAGAAATTAATTGACATAGATTTTATATTTAACAAATCTAGAATAATTTGATCTGTCAATTCTAATTGCTAGTAAGAGACTATAGTAGTATTATTTTTGGATTGTTCGATGATGTCGTAATATAAAGAAGAAAGTCTTGTTTAGAATAATTGTTAACTTTTGTTTGTAATGTTCTATCCTACTGTACTGGAGGAGGTTAATTTAATTTTAGTATTTACATTGTTTACGTCTCACATTGTGTTTGGATAATTAGTTATCTAAAATGTGACTTTATCAAAATTTGGATTTTAAGAGCAAAATTAGCCTAAATAAATATTTATAATTGAAAAATACAGAGATTTAACACCTTTTTTTTGTTTAAATTGGGCTTTGAATTCCAGTAATTTAAACCTTATTTTAATATTAATAAGTGTTAATTGTTGGTTCACGATACAAAAGTAATATATTTCAAATGTCATACTTACAATACTGATAGAAGTCACACCAGAAAAAAAAATTAAATACCTAAAAAAAACTAGGTATTAAGTCCTTACTTTGTACTAGTGCTAGGAATAAATTTAGAATTACTATAACAATATACTATTAGATTGTTAATGGTATTTAATCGATTAATTGAGCAGAAAATCAGAAGTTAATAGATTCAATAGTTTTCACATTTTTTGTTGGAATTAGAAGGCAATTTTGTGTGATAGGTGAAAATATAATCAAAAGCTTAAGCGTATATAATAAATTAAGAGAATACATTATAAAAATAGTTAACAAAATTTAATACCAACAATCTTATCTATTTGTTATTCTTTTATGTATTTATCAATGAAATCTTCTTATTATATAACAACCAAACACATATCTTTACTTGGAACGGTAAGCTTTATTGAATGACACTAATTTTACAGAAGTCATTGTGGATAAAACACTCTAAATATTTAAGTTGGACATATAAATTACATGCTTAGTTCTCTTAGAGTGTTGAATATAAATTATCAATTAATTACTTCACACATATATTTATTAAGTGAGAATATGGATACAAAGAAGTCTATAAGGATGGTTGAAAAGACTTTTTTCCCTTAAGACGATTTCAAAAGCATTTTAGGTCTCATAAACGAAAGCAGAGATTTTAATAAATACGGAAGCAAAACACAAAAACAAGAGAGTTTGAAAGCATCTCAATGAATTAAACCAAGTGAAATAGTACAAGATGTTACTAAGGTATTGATTATTTCTAATGTAAGTCAATCACAAGACAACTAAAGTTGTTTTAAACAAAGCAATTTAAAAACACTTCACATAGATATTCTATCAAACCATAATTTGATTCATATATAATATCGGTACACTACATACCTAAGCTTATATATGAAATCTTTATAAGTAAAGTTTATCTTTTGTGACATACAATCAATACGACTATGCAATATATTCAATAGCAATATTAGTGGTGCTAGTAAAATAAAGGAGTTAAGGAAAGAAGAAAATATACACAAAGATATATAGTGCTTCGACGTTCGTCCTCTCTTTACCTACTCCACTCTTCAATAGTGTTAAATAACCATTGGAAAATAATCACAATCTTCCACTATTTTGATAAGTTTGATACAAGCATTTTGGCTACAACTAACTATCCCACGAAAATTCCCTCTGTTGATGCAGACACTCTAGCTACTAACAAAAAGCAAGATCCCTCGATATCTTAATCTAATAACTTCGCTATCCATAATGACCTGCTCCAAATATTTGTGTGGCTATCCATAGACAACTCTCAACTGAGAAATTGTCATTAATTGATTGATATGCTTTTCTAAATGGATGTAAAGCTAAGAAATAAGATTTTTGGATGGGAAAATCATGCAAGTTTTTACCAATAAGCTTCATAGGTAAGGAAGCTGGTTTTTCAGTTAAAGAAAAACCGCTATTATTCTGCTTCGTAGTAATAGTATGAGAGAGAGTGATAGAGAGAGAAATTTTGCATGCATGTGCCCCAAAGAAACTGGAATACTACTCACACCCCCAAGTCTCCAGCGCCCGTCAATTTTTCCACTAGTACCAACTTTTTGGTTTTTGACTTTTGAAAAAATTCACATTTCCTCCACTAGCAAAAGGCTCACTTCCCACCTAACTACACTTTTCACTGCGTGAATTACCAGCACCAATAGCAACAGACTTACTACATTCAAAACTAATATTATGGCCCCCCATAAATTTAGAAGAAGGTGAAAACACTCCCTCAACTCTAAAAGCACGTGTGTAATACTCCTGTAATAAGGGAGCCACAACACTATCGAGTTCCAAAGCATTATTTAAAGTTAATGGATTTGACTTAGGGGAATAGTCTACACCAATCAGGAAGCATATAATTATGTCAATATCTGCAGCATTCTACAAAACCTGCTATGGAACTATCTCCACATAGTGCAACATGTTTCCTGTGTCTAAACTCTCTCCATCACTAATACCAACATTCCTTAATGCGTTACCTATTTCCACTGGGGGAGATTTTTCAACAAAAAACCTTCTACTTCATCATCTTCTTCGTCAACCATTTCCTTCTCCGTATCACCCTCTAATGAAATTCCTCCCACTCCAAAGACTCCAAAGAATTAAGTCTCATAGGGCCATATGAATCCTCAACTATCTTCAGCTGAAACACTACCCCACTGATCTTAACCTAGATAAAATCATTCATACCAATGGAACATTTTGTTTCCACCAAGAGCTTGGCAACATCCATCTTCAAACCTGATCTAGTAGCTTCATCTGAGAAAATGAACTTTCTCACCGATTTTGCAATGAACTCAAAAATGTTAGTGTTCCAAGTGTGGCAAGGGATACCAAACACATGATCTGAACTAATAAACTCTCTTTTCATCCACCATTCCCGGACTCTATTTCTTCCCTTCCAGGAATCATTGCTTCAACCATACATCTTATGTTCTAATCAAAACCTCCAACTCCTCTTGTTTTCTTTCGTCTAATAAGTATAGATTGGCTCCCATGGGAGTAATTTTAATGGCAAAGAATACCTTCTTGTCAAAACTATCATGCAAGTTATACACAAATCCTGCATTCGACACTAATCCAATGAATGCTTTGGAAAATCTAGACCACATGCATTAATCATCTTCATTATAAACCAACACATGACCATTGAAATCACTCTATGAAAAAGAATCACCAACTTCTTGTGCATAAGATTTCAAGATACTTCTTCCATTGGCTACATTAACTCCCCAACGACCTCCCCCTCCATCACTAACCTGTTCATGAAACCTTTTCTTTATTAGTGCATTAATCTTATTCTAGTTTTCTCTAACGATTCCACTTGAACTCCCATGTGACCTTTGGAATCTAGGAAAATTATCAAAGATTTTCTACTTTCTAATGAAGATATTATTAAGTTTTGTTGCAAGAAAATCGATATTCTGCACATGAAGAAACCTTAAAAAACTAGACCACTCTCTTCTCTTGTCCCTCCTAGCCAGAATAACAACCTCAACCATATTTTTGTGGTCCTTGAAGATATCAAAAAAATCCCTAGCGCACACATGATCCAGAAACAATGTGATGAAAAAAGTTGATGTCTCTTTCATGATGAAGCGCTTCAAACATGCAAAATTTGAAACTAGATTTTTCCTTCTCCTGTCGGAAACACGCTTCCATTCACCACCTCTTTCATCATTGATATGAGATGCTATATCTTCTTTATTAAGAACTCTCTCTCTCTCTCTCTCTCTCTCTCTCTCTCTCTCTCTCTCTCTCTCTCTCTCTCTCTCTCTCTCCTTTACTCAAATGTAACTAATAAGGTATGTAAATAATTAAACTGGAATCTTGACTAACAGGATGTGATTTGCAACATTAAACATATAATTTTTTATTATATTAATATTAATACAAATAATATACATACTCCTGTATTGAAATTACAAAACTCAAGAATAAAAATTTATGACGCAATGGAGTTTCCATACATTAAGTAGGAAAAAGTTTCATTCTAGTTATGCACATGGTGTTTCAATATTGCTTGTATGCATGTTTTAATTTTCAACATAAAGACATTCTACTACATTAAAGTGCGCCCGATGATCGTGTCAATGATCTTACAAATTTAACATCAACAACTTTAAAATTTTCTTCTTTGCTATACTTTGGCCTTTGCACATGTCCACCATTTGTTACCTCAAAAGAGGCTCCATTTTCAAATGAATCTCTTACGGAATGAAATTCCCATTTGTCCCCATTTGTTTGACCATTTTGTCTCCATGTTACCTACGCACATTTTAAAATTAGAAACCATCTAATAAAAATAAAATCATTTTATTTTATACATAACTACATTAACTGATCATGTGATTTAGTATTAATTATTCAAATGCAATTTCATTAGTCATTAACTAGTTGAAGTTGATAATGTAAAATCAATTGTTTACCTCCTTACTTCCAACTTTTGGTGCTATGAAGAGGTTAGACTCACTTTTTAGACTAGGCCCCATACTTCCCCCAATGGCATATTGCATCCATCCTAAGTAAAGATTGTTGGCTACATGTGCATATCCATGGCGAATCCTACATCATTTTATACAATTAAGAAAAAAAATTGCATAATAAATTTAGATTTGTATATTTTAAATTCAAGAACAAGTTTCTTGTAAAACAAAATCGTAATCAAAGACTTAATTACCTAGGCATTCTTTGGTTGCAATTAGGTCCAAAATGATTGTACACAACAGTAACTTTCATGTTTTTGTCTCTCACATATCCATCATCATGACCAAGAAGCATAACCTTATCTTGTTCTCTAAACCAATTGTTGGATATAGTCACATTACTAGAACCCCGAGTTACATCAAGAAGACCATCTTCACAATCATTAAGTGTATTATGATCAATCCAAATTTTTGAAGCAGTGACCAATCTTATTGCATCTCCATCTACTGGACCTAAATGAATTACCTTTCCATTAGGCCCCATCACCATCCCCGAAGTTTGAGCTTTACAGTGATGAATTCGAATGCTATGTATGATTATGTTGGTGGTCTAAAAGTTAAAAAGAAATTGTTATTAATGTAGGACACAAATTGATACTATAAATCTAAAATTGGAAAGGAAAATTTAAAAGGAGAATCGTAAAATTAATCTCTAAATTTTGTGATGAAAGAATTAAAGGGAATTTTTTCTCTCATTATTTATAGTCCTGGATTATAAATATTTTTTCTAGTTATAGTTAAGTATTTGGTTATTACCTTGAATATCATCAAACATGCATTATTAGCAACGTGGACATTGACACCGCGACCATCAATGGTAGTGAAACTACTAACGAGAAGTGGTTTGATAAGTTTAATGTTCATGTCTTTTTGAAATGTGATCCATACTTTACCTTGAATTACAGAGGCTCCGTATCTCAATGTACCTATTTTAGGGTTTATAGGATCATCATTTGGGTCAGTAACTTCATATTGTATGAGGTCTTTACCAATGTTGTTTGTCATCTTTCCAACATAACCTATAGAACAAGTCGCTATTTGTTGTCTTTGTCTCCTCCATTCAGGATTTAGCCTCCAACAACGATCAATCATGTTCATATTCAAACCAATTAATTTGGATTTTTTGGCAGAACTAAGTTTTGGAATGAAAAATATAACAACCGCAATGGTCAAAACAAAACGCCATATGACATAATTGCTACCTTGAGATATCATGATATGGTATAATTATTCTTGAAAATTTTAAATTAAAGAAGAAAAATTGAGATATGATAAACTTAAATGATTCTTGGTTTATATTGGAGAAGAAATACTATTAAAATGTGATTATATAGATCAAAGTAATCTTCAAGTTGGTTAAATTTGTTTTTTAAAACTATGATTAAATTAGTGATCCGTACAAAAGAAAAGTTATAAATAACAATAAATAGAAAAATATAGGTAAACCAAAATCTTAACCTCATATTATTGTAATTTTTTGTTACATTAACCTAATTAACTTAATGTTTTGATACTTATCTAAGTTTAGATAATAACTAAAAGTAAAATTAGTACATCTATCATGCTATAACATATTACAACCATGTTTTCTAGTAAAAAAATAACAACAACATTTTCCTTATTTGGAGTTTAACATAAATATATTAAAAATATTTTTAAAATGTTTAATAGCTTGCATGGTTATATTGTATTTAGGTGATACAAAATTTATCTTTTATTTGATGAATTTCAAATAATTGGATACATACAAATTATAATATATTATTATGTTAAAGAATAATCAACAATGATAAGATTGATGTATCTTGTAGAATTTGAGAGACGATCATCGAAAGAGTGAGTATGGAGAATTACTACCTTCATTGCTGTTTAGGATTTTTAGAGTATATAATTGTCTAATAGGGCGACACGTAAATAACTAAACAGTTAAGGACATAGTCCTTTCACTGGGCTTAATTGAATTTTCAAACTCATCACGGTCCATTCTGACATAAAACCTAATTAAATAATTCATCAATAATTAGTGTTTAATAACAATTGACCATACTATAATTAGTTAATAATTGATTATATTAATCTATATTATATTAATTAACTAGTTAATCCAACAATCTCCTACTTGGATGACAATAATTAATTATTAAAAATTTTAATTTTAATTTTATATTACTAATTATGGTCATAACACTAATCAATTAAAAGAGAAGTAAGTTTTAATGTTGTAGAAATTGTATCCGATAGGGAAAACAAATCATACATGTTAAAGACTCACAACATATATAAAGAATGCTTAATTTAGAGTAATATATTTAAGTTATGATAATATGTTATAATCCAAATATATGAAAACGCTATTGATAAACTTCCACTAACCCGCAATATCATATGACTAACTCATATGTATAAGCCTTTAGTTATTGATTATACTATTGAGTTTTCAAATTAAATGTCATATAATATCCACATAGGTCTAAGAATAATAATTGCATATATACATATGTTATTACGAGGATAATTACATTTAATCATAAGTACCTTCATAACACAATATTATACTCGATAGGAGTATTAATATTTACTTGTATTTTCATATTATGACCTAACAAATGCAGACTATTGAAGATAGAATAACACAATATTATTGCATGCTAAAAAATTATTGTGTCTTTTCAATATCGACCTAAAATTCAAATTATGATATATTTTGAGATTAAGAGAATAATATATAGCTCAGTATAATAGAATAAGATTTCTTAGAGTTATTTAGTATTTTGAAGTCTTTTTAGAATATGTCATATTTTATGGTACACGCAAAAATGTATGACATTATAAGAATAATAATCTAAAATTTTCAATAAGATAAAGATTTATCAGATCCACTAATATTAAATTATCTAATGATACAATGAGATACTAATTTTATTTTTATTGCAAAATTATACAGAGAAGTCATCGTATGATATATCATTATTCGAGATTCCCAAACACAACCACATATTTTGCATGTAAATAAAATATATTATTATTTAGATAATTTCAAATAAAAGAATATAATGGTCATATAAAATATTTACAATCTTTTGAGTGAAATCAAATCCATATAATTTTAAATAGAATATAGGATTTTATACAATATATTAATAACTCACTGAAAACTCAAATGGTACAAATATAACTACGCACATTTGAGAAACATATTACGTTATACGCAATAGAAAAATATGAGACTTTAATCAAATTTAATATTGAGGATATATCAAAAGTAGTCATAATGGCCTATAGCACAGATAACTCGAGATATGAACTATGTTGCCCCTGCACCAAAACCCTAAGTGAACTGAATTATGATGATTCTTTAACCATGAAGCACTTGACTCATCCTGACCATTTGATAACGAAACAAACCATCTGTTTCACCAAGATTAAGTTAAACTTCCACCGAATTTCAACCCAAAATTGCACACACCCTTGTAACAGCGGGCAAAGGATTATTGTTAACATTGGATCCAGAATCACCAAATGATAAGATTTTCTTCTCCATTAGCTCTCTTACAATGTCTTTTATAGTATAACATTCTTCTAGATCGTGGTATGGTGCGCCTTCGTGGAAAGGACAATGAGCATTGGGATTGTAGTAAGGTGGACCTAACGACCTTGTAGTTAGTAACAATTTTTGCACCAACGAAGCGTACAACTCGGTATAAGTCATGGGAATGAGAGGAATAGGAGGCCTACCACTCTGTCTTTTGTTGGAGTTATTTTGGCGAGGAGCTTGATTCCTTTACTGTTGATAGGCTGAAGTGTTGGGGGCTCGTTGATAAGTTGGCAGAGCTTGAACTGGTTGGTAAGTAGAAACTAGTTGCATAAGCTGATATACGGGAACTTGTTGATTAAATGAGGGAGTGACTGCTGCCACATATGGTTGTTGGGCGTGCTAAACTGAATAAGCTGGTTGTTGAGCATAACTTTACCATTGTTGTTGTTTCCAAGACTGATTCTTTCTTCTACTAGACATCATTGCATTCGTTCCCCTTCCTTTTTCTAGCGGAAACTGCTAGAAGACTTCTTAGCATTGTTGTTGTTGGTATTTGAACTTCCAGTTGCATTGGTCATTTTACCATTCTTCAAACCAAGCTCCACCTTAACACCCACAAAAATAATATTAGAGAAGCTAGCTCACACTCCCAGCCATTCTCTCATAGAATTCTGGGCGCATTGTGTCAACAAACCAATAAGCTAATTCCTTTTCGGTCAAAGGAGGTTCCACTTAAGATGAAGTTTCTCTCCATCACTAAGTGCATTCCTTGAATGACTCAGAACTATTTTGTGATATACTCAACAATTGTCTTCTATCAGGAGCTAAGTCCATATTATACTTGTAGTTTTTGATGAAAGCATCTGACAGGTCTTGGAAACAGCGGATACATGATTGATCCAAACTCAAATACCATTTAGAAGAAGAACCCTTCAAACTTTCTTAGAAACCATGAGTCATAAGTTTATCATTGTCAACATGGGCTTCCATCTTCCTATAGTATATGATAAAATGGTTCTTTCGACAGGTGGCACCTTCATATTGATCAAAGTTTAGGGTCTTGAACTTGGCTAGGATAACCAATCCAGACACAAGGCACATCTCCCTTGCAGCAGCACCAAAGAATTGGTCACCTTCAATAGCTCTTAATCTCTTCTCAATAGTTTCAACATTGTTTCTAAGCTTCTCATACTTCTCGTCTTCATATTCAAACATATTTGGCACATCATACACTTTTTGGTATTCATCAAAGTAAGGTTGAATACTGGTATGCACGACAGTTGGTGCAAAGGTAGGAACCACATCAGGGACTTTGGAAGTCAAAAGAGTATCTTGCTGAGTAGTTGGAATTACAACAGGTCTAGGCACAAAATCTGGGGGAAGACCAAATGGAGGTAAATTGGTAGTAGTAGATATTGTAGGCTAAGGATCTACTTCTGGATTAACAATCTAGGGAACCACTATGGTTTGGGTATCCATCTTCGCACATATCACTTGTAACATTTCCATGATATGCCCTAGGTTCCCACGTAGGTCTTCTAGTTCATTACTGACTCAGTCGATCTCTTACTCTTGCTCATCCATTCTTCTTCGAGCTTAAGATGGGTGTGGAGGACTCAATGTGAAACTAGAGAGGAGACAACAAAATGAACTAAATGCAAGAGGAATGCACGTGTGATGATATGAATGCATGAAATGCAATGCAACAAAAATACTTCAAGGAATTCAAAGTATATTTGCAAATATTATAGAAATGGAGAACACATATTTTGAATAACAAAAAGAGTTTCATTTCATTGATTTAAATTTGAAGATTACAAAAAGAGTTACACACTTTCAAAAGTCTTACAACATGGACAAATGCAAGAAAGAGGAAACTAGGAGTACTAAGTAATCTGAAGAGAAGACCCCTCTCCTCCTTAGAACTTCTTCGTAAGCCTATGAATCTACTATTTCATCTTGGTCTTCTCAAGGATGAGCTTATCCATATATAACTTCCATGCAATTGAAGTTGGATGAATGTAAGAATTGGCAGTAGGCACTGATGGTACGCTAGAGGAAAATAAATCCTCTTATGCCTTCCTCTTCTTAATAGACTTTTCTTCTTCCTTTTACTTATGAAGCTCCTGAAGTTCTCCATTCTCATGGTTGAAGACTTGATACTTGTTCTTCCAAGCATTCCTCTCTCGCTTTGTTTTGGCTAAGGTGATCTTTAGCTTCTCCTCCTCACTCATAAAGATCAAAGTGGGGTCTCTAGTAGCCATGGGTATGGGCTCATGAGGAGGGTAGGGCATCTTCAGCTTGGTAGCCCTATCTTGCACCCATTGGAGATAAGGCTCCAAAGCGACGCAATCAGGCTTTCCTAACACAAGCATTCCTTTCCTATGCACATGACACTAAGTTTCCATGATTTTCTCTTTAAGCACTGGATTCGCACATTCTTTAAGAAAAAACCCCTCAAAATAGATGGTATTAGATTTATCCTTCATAGGATAACCAAGTTGTCGACAATCTAGAACCGGATTGTAGCTTATGCATCCTTTTGTACCAAGAAGAGGTACGTTGGGAAACTCACCACAACTGTCAATCATAACCACCCCTCCAAAAGTAAGATTATACCACTCAATGTCAGAATAGGTGAGCGACATAATTTTTTGCGACCAAAGTAACCCATCCTTAA